TGGAGTAACAGGGACATAGTAACTAATTCCACCTATATGAATATTGAAGTGGTGCCGCTTCTAGCAAGATTTAAAGGGTTGATCTTGTAAATATTCATGAATTCAGGATGAGAACATGGTCGTAAATATGCTAAAGCGAATACTGGATTTTCTAAGCTACTAGATAACGCTGTGTGTGTGGTACTTTCGGTTTTGGCACAAGGATTTGTGGTTCAAATCTTAAGATACCATTAACTTCGTCAAAACTTTAATATACTTACACTAAAGGAAAGTTCAAATCTGTAAAAGATACTTTCAATTATTCAGAAGTGTTATGAAGTGAAATAACAAACTAGTGGGGGATTGTAAGATAGTTTGTTATTGGCAAGTTGGAAGTGAGATTCTTCCCACATCGGAAGAAAGAAGTTTCGTGCCTGTCATGTGAAACAACCCCGGGACAGACCTTACTCATACTGTGCCTGTTAGCCTCGGAACTGATCATTATGAAATAGCACATAACAGGCACGAGATTGACTCAACAGGCACGAGACTGACTCAACAGGCACGAGACTGACTCAACAGGCACGAGATTGACTCAACAGGCACGAGATCCTAGAGTTAATTATTTTTAACAGAAAAATCAAATTTGTTTGAATTTTAAATTCAAAATTCGAATAAATAGTCGTGTCTGTTTATGAAACAAGACATCTTTTCTGTAAGGGTCTGATGGTTGCCTATAAATACACAAGAATTCCAACGAAGTGAATATAGAAAATCACAAGTGTTATTGCAGGCTTTGTTGTATCCTGAAGAGAATCGTTTTGTATTTTTCCTAAATTAGTATACATGCGATAACTCTTTAAGGACAGTCGATTTTCACGCCTCAAAGCCAATTTTGATTATTATTTTCTAACAAATCACATGTTCGAACAGTAAAAGGAGTCACTAATGCTTGTATTAAGATAAGCTATCTACATTCTTAACCCTAGCATGCGACCCTTCCAAAACCATGCGTAAACAATTTTTTTTTTGTGCACCAGACTACTCTGATCTCCATATCAGTTGGTAAAAAAAATCAAATATAAATTACTTTTCATCTTTCATACATCGTCCTATGATGAAACGACACTCATCTAATGACAACATGCAGATTTTATAGTGATTCCTGTGACCTTTTGTTTTGTCTTCTTCTTTTGACGCTTACAATGGTTTGTGAAAATTAACCAAACAAAATAAGCTAAACGCAAAGGAGAATGAGAGGTTTTAAGAAAATAAATATAGAGAAATTTTCATAAAGCACTATATTTTAGTGGTAATTAGCTATTTATAGATATCATTTGCTATATTACGGATTGTAGATATGTTTTATGTTGTTATAAGATGTATTTAAGCTACTGTATTCATGAATACAGTAGCAAAAATAGGCGTGAATCAGGGAAGTCCAGCTAATTAGTTGTTGTATTCGAGTGTATTCGTCTGTATTCATGGCGTGAAACATGAGATTACAGCTGGACAGATTATTGTATTCAACTATATTTGACTGTATTCACGGCGTGAAACAGGAGATTACACTGTTTTTAAACGGAAAGTAAATCAATTAACATAATAGACTCCTAATATAACTCAACAAACTCAATTATAACACACAAAATTTATATTTCCAATTATAAAAAAGATTCTCAACCGAAAAATACCCCAAACATATAGCAATCCTCAGAGAAATTATATAATACGTCTGAATACATAAATTATATTAATTAAAAAATATATGAATACATTCATGGCATATAACGAGACAGTGAATAGAATGAAATACATAGAATATAGCGGGATACATTGAAATACAATGAAAAAAAGACAGTGAATACAATGAAATACATTGAATTGAGCGAGATACATTGAATTACAATGAAAAAAATACAATGAATACAATAAAATACATGAAAATATAGCGTGATACGTTGAAAATACATTAAAATATATTAACAGAAAATCAAAGTTGCTCAGCCCCAAACTCCGTTGTCTTTGTTAAAAGAACAAACCCTAATTTTAAGCGAATTCGCCATCGAACAAAAACCTTGAATCTCATTGAGCCGAAATTCGGATCTACATAGACAACAACTTTTGAGAGCAGCTCGGTGACAAGAGCTTTGAGATATATGTCTATATTAATTATCTGTTCTCTTTTGTTAAAACAAATGGAAAATTAAAATAATTTTGATATGCAGAAAAAGTCAAGGGTGAAAGATCTGCGTCGGTCAGGGAAATGCAGTTTGGAGAAAAGAAGAGTAAGAGATGAAGATATTGATGGGATTAATAGACTTAAAAGTGTTGTCAAGAGTATTGAGAATGGGTGAACTGAATAATGAACAGTTGCATTGGTGCGAAGACAAGATGAGCAAAGTTAGAGTTTCTAATGGAATTGAAAATGAGGATGAGAGACACAAAACGTGGGATTTCTCAGCATTCCTTTTACCACCGTGATGAGACATCGTGAACTTGAAATCACCGTTTGTGATTAATGGTAGGTGATATGGATGAGAAGAATTTTGAGATTGAGCATCGTGTTTTCAGGGAATGGGGGAAGAGAATGACATGTATCAAAGTAGAGAGAAAAAGAAAATAGTGTAACTAAATAGCGTATTTAGTGGCTTATGGGTAGAAAGTAACCAAAATTAGATATTTTGCTATAAACATTAAAAGGTATCTATAGAATATAATTTTTTTAAATGGTATTTATTTAAAATAAATAAGGTGTTAACCTTTGCTATAGGAGGTAAAAATTCCATAAAGAGAAATTTTCATAAAGCACTATCTTTTAGTGGTAATTAGCTATCTATAGATACCATTTGCTATATTACGGATTGTAGATATGTTTTATGTTGTTATAAGATGTATTTAAGCTACTGTATTCATGAATACAGTAGCAAAAATAGGCGTGAATCAGGGAAGTCCAGCTAATTAGTTGTTGTATTCGACTGTATTCATGGCGTGAAACATGAGATTACAGCTGGACAGATTATTGTATTCAACTGTATTTGACTGTATTCACGGCGTGAAACAGGAGATTACACTGTTTTTAAACGGAAAGTGAATCAATTAACATAATAGACTCCTAATATAACTCAACAAACTCAATTATAACACACAAAATTTGTATTTCCAATTATAAAAAAGATTCTCAACCGAAAAATACCCCAAACATATAGCAATCCTCAGAGAAATTATATAATACATCTGAATACATAAATTATATTAATTAAAAAATATATGAATACATTCACGGCATATAACGAGACAGTGAATACAATGAAATACATAGAATACAGCGGGATACATTGAAATACATTATAAAAAGACAGTAAATACAATGAAATACATTGAATTGAGCGAGATACATTGAATTACAATGAAAAAAATACAATGAATACAATGAAATACATGAAAATACAGCGTGATACGTTTGAAATACATTAAAATATATTAACGGAAAATCAAAGTTGCTCAGCTCCAAACTCCGTTGTCTTTGTTAAAAGAACAAACCCTAATTTCCGGCGAATTCGCCATCGAGCAAAAACCCTGAATCTCATGGAGCCGAAATTCGGATCTACATAGACAGCAACTTTTGAGAGCAGCTCGGTGACAAGAGCTTTGAGATATATGTCTATATTAATTATCTGTTCTCTTTTGTTAAAACAAATTGAAAATTAAAATAATTTTGATATGAAGAAAAAGTCAAGGATGAAAGATCTGCGTCGGTCAGGGAAATGCAGTTTGGAGAAAAGAAGATTAAAAGAAGAGGAAGAGATGAAGATATTGATGAGATTAATAGACTTAAAAGTGTTGTCAAGAGTATTGAGAATGAGTGAACTGAATGATGAACAGTTGCATTGGTGCGAAGACAAGATGAGCAAAGTTAGAGTTTCTAGTGGAATTGAAAACGAGGATGAGAGACACAAAACGTGGGATTTCTCAGCATTCCTTTTACCACCGTGATGAGACATCGTGAACTTGAAATCACTGTTTGTGATTAATGGTAGGTGATATGGATGAGAGAAATTTTGAGATTGAGCATCGTGTTTTCAGGGAATGGGGGAAGAAAATGACATGTGTCAAAATAAAGAGAAAAAGAAAATAGTGTAACTAAATAGCGTATTTAGTGGCTTAGGGGTAGAAAGTAACCAAAATTAGATATTTTGCTATAAACATTAAAAGGTATCTATAGAATATAATTTTTTTAAATGGTATTTATTTAAAATAAATAAGGTGTTAACCTTTGCTATAGGAGGTAAAAATTCCATAAATATATTAAGCATCTAACTCACAATGAAAACAGGATTCTGGGCCTTCACCAAACGATTACTCCCACGCAATATGAAGTTCTTTCTTAGCCCATTCCAATTATATAGACACTCTTCCATATTTGAATTTATTTAAATTAACATCCTTATTTTGCTCTTGTTTATATGCTTCTATAATAAAGAAATAGCATGTTGAAAACACAAAACTCTAGCTTTGGAATGTCATTTATATATTTTGTTCTCATATTTCAATTGTCAAAAGTATTAGCACTATATTTTTCTGAAACTTCTCGTTTGATCAAACACCATCGTAAAATGAAATGACAAGCATATCGTCTAATATTCTTTCAACATTTCCACCGCACTTCCGAACTTTCTCTGAAGCAAATTGTAGTTTTTAGCATAAAGAATATTTTACACCTTAAAACTAACCGTATTGATTAGATCTTATTAATATGGGTTTTTTTTGGAAATTCACTTGAACCGAAAGTTCCTCTCGATTCTCGCTTAATAGTAGTAATATATATATATATATATATATATTTTTTTTTTTTACGGCGGAAAAAAATATATATTTGTCTCATTAATATACTAGCACTTCGTAACATTTATAGTGGGGTGTTTTTTTTTCTTCTAAATTTACTTCGTCTAGAGAAAAACCTCTCACCTTGTATGAAGAAAGAAGAAGAAAATAAAAGGAAAGAATATTAGTCCCTCTCGAAATATTAATTAGGAGTAATTATATTAAATATCACCATATAGTAGAAATTACAATTACCAACAGGAGAAGAAGAAGAAGTAGAAGAAGAAAAGATAATTAACATAAAAGAATAATAATAAGGCTAGGCTTCAATAATCTTCATTCAGCTCCAAATTTGAACATTTTCAAACATTCACGGCGTTGCAAAGGAACATGAGCGACGATGTGCACGCAGCGTCGCCGCCGTGTCTTCCTCCTCCTCCACCACCACCACCTCCACCGCCGCCGCCGAACAAAAACCTTTCATAATAATCCACACAAAACAAAGATAACGACAACTCCACTTCATGGCGCGTCCAATAAACTCTCCTCACAACCTCCGAATCAGAAGCTGACTGATCCACTCCTATTGGTTTCCACTTTCGCAATCGATTCAACACTGGCCTAACACACACCATGTACAGCCGCCGGTACCCTCCGAGCGCCAAAACCACCGTCCTCACTCCCTCCGGCGGCGGCGACACGTGGCGAAAGCAGAGGTGCTCCCACAGGGAATCGTCTTGAGTGATGGCGCACCATTGTTTACATACACATGCAGCAACTCCTAAGGAACGACCGTCGAGCCTCTTCAATATCTCTATCAGCACATCTTGATTATCATTTATGAAAAACTTGCTTCCCATTTTTTGTCTTACAGTACAAAGAACAATGTATAGAAAGCTAGAGGTTGTAGAGATAATAGAGAAGTAAAAGAAGTAATGGGGGTATTTGTAGAGAAGAAATTAAAGGGTTTTGACTTAAAAGAGTATATGGTTTTCTTTGGTCTTACAATGCAAAATGTATTTATACAATCATCTTTTTATAACAATTAATTAGTAACCTAATAAAAATGGTAGGAGTAGTTGATATGCAGGCATAATTGTATAGAAAAATCTTTTGTACCGTCAATATATGTTATTTCCTACGTTCTAATTTACGTCAACCTTTTCAAAATATGAAGGTCGAACTCACTAATTTTTTTAATATAAATTTTTTATATTTAGAGACTACATTAAAAAATTATTTTGGAAATGTTTTTCTTGAGCCAAGGGACAATCGAAAATAACCTCTTTATCTCTCACAAGACAAAAGTTTGCGTGCACCTTACCCTCTTCAAAAGCGGTTTTATAGGCAAAAATATATGGCACGCGAACTCATGGTCTCTCCGCAAAATTAGATATTTTATGTATATATTTTATAAAATTAGTATAATATTAACTGTTGTCACCCATGTTCCAAGAAGGTTGGTGAACTTGGTTGAAGGTTGAGTTACTTATCAAGAGGAATATGGATCAATTCTCACTTAATATTTTTTCCTCCTTTTTTTAATAGTGTACCCATATATTAAAAATCCTAGATCTGCCTCTGCCTCAGGACCCACTTATGAAAACATACTAGGTATGTTATTATTGTTGTTACAGAAACAACATAAAAAGATATGATAAACTACAATAATTAACAATTTAATATATTTAAAAAAATTTATAAAAATTACAATAATAAATTAATAGACTTTCCATAGTAATAGTTACATTCATATAAATTGAAAATAGAGGGGGGTTTTTATTTTTTTTTTATTTTTTTGCAAGGATAGGGAGGTTGGTAGGTATCGNTGACAGACTTTTTTTTGGGTCCATTATTTTGTGAGTGAAGTCAGATGTGAACGTTATTGTGTTGTGTAGCGTAAGATGTGTTGTTTTGATGTTAATGTTTTAGTTTGTATGTTGCTTCAATGCATGAATATGGAGATCGTGAAAATCCCGTTTCTTTGTAAATTGACATTAAGCATTCATGAGTTAATAACTAGTAAAACATTATTATTACATCTGGTAAAATTACTTTGGAAGAGTAACTTTCAATAGACTTTGTTTATTTCGAAATTCTATAAATTCATAGAATATTCGCAAAGAGATCAAAGACATCAAATATTATTTTCTTAGCCACCGAAGTGATTAAAAGATATTTTTCTTTTTCACGGAGATCAAATACATTCTAAGGAAGTCCACATTATCCTATATACAAAAAATACCCTGCTTAAGCCTCGAATATTGGAGAATAAGAAGAATCATACGAATTGTACCCACAAAGACTCATCTATAAAATTATTTTTATATATTTTTGTGATAGCAATTATTATTTTTTTAAAATAGACTTTTTTTTCAGTTCAAAATATCCATGATTATATAAATTGAAGTATTGTTATTAGTAAACGCTTGCTCCAAAGTCAATAATCTGAACGTTATGGGGCTAAACTCCTGTACCTCTCTATGTCCTGTGCTATCTACACGATTAGTCTTTCCGATCTTTGTCTTAATTAATAAGTAGCCTGTTTGACCAAGTTTTTTTCTTTGTCAAAAGTGTTTTTTCTTTTGCCAAAGGCACTTTTGACCAAAAATTGAGGCGTTTGACCAAGCTTTTGGAAGGAAAAAAATGTTTTTGAGGAGAAGCAGAAGCAGTTTTGGAGAAGCAGAAAAAAATAACTTCTCTCCAAAATCACTTTTTTGAGAAGCACTTTTGAGAAAAATATACTTAGAAACAGTTTTTTAAAGCTTGGCCAAACATTAATTGCTGCTCATAAGTGTTTTTCAAACTAATTAGCCAAACACAAACTGCTTCTCACCAAAAGTATTTTTGAGAAAAGCACTTTTAAAAAAAACACTTCTTAAAATAAGCTAATTTTTGCAGCTTGACCAAACGGGCTATAAATAAACCTCTACAGTCTGCATCGATAAATGCAATCTATATGAAAACATGGATGTGAATTTTAGACCAAATTAGAATCCTAGTCCTAGGCCTAGATAGGGACCTCGGTTTTATTTGTATGCTCTTTTTTATTTCTCGTGAGTGGTGAGGAGTGTTTCACCAAAAAGTGTTAAGCACTTTTTAGTTAAACCAATTTTAATAAATGAATAAGGGGTGAATTCAAGTTAAAAGTATTAATAAATTCTAGATCTGAAATTTAGCAACTTAAATGATGTGAACCGTGTTTCAATCAATAAAATGCCGAGTTAATGCTCAACGATTAGAAATAAATATGTGAATGAATGCATACAATAAATGTGATAAATGACATTTAATGTAATAAGAAGCAAATAAGTCACCCAAATATTGGATGAGGTAGACGCTTCCTTCTTCAAAGATAACATGCGACAACATGCAATGATAGTGAACAATGTGCCCTCGGATCTTGTGAACCAGAGAAGAATGTTGTATGATGGAATCAAACAAGAAAGACAAGACACGTTTTTTGTATATTCTTGATAGTCAACTCTTTTACAGGATGTTCTTTTACATAAGTTTCGAATCCCCTTCTTGTTCTCTCTCTCTCTCCTTATTTATAAGGGATATTCCTAGAAAACCCTAGAAAAGTACAATGTGAGGGAATATTCAACAGAATATTCCTATTCATAGTCACAGGAACGTTCTAACAATTGTAGTCATTGTTCTGTATCCGACCTCAGCACTGATCTTCCCCTTTGAGCGACTCCTCGCCACTAGACCGCACGTAATCTCGACCTCGACCTCAGCTCGTCCATTTGTACTCGCCACGCTAGACCGAATTTTGACCCATACAGTTAGTCCCTCCGCTTATTGAGGTCGTCCTCTTGGGAGTCCTTGATGAGCGAATTTCATCTGTATCTAATCACAAAAATGTTCCTCCATGGCGGACGGGCTGAATTGTTTGAGGTCGCGTTGGTGACGGGTCGGCTCAAAGGTTGTGGTTGGCGTGGCTAACATAGTGTGATGACCTAAAGGTCATCACTTGTTTTAAAATTAAATTCTACGTTCTGAGGCCTTAAAAACCTCTTTTAGCATCACCTTGATTTATGTACGCACTCCGGGCGCGTAGTCGGAAAGCCTATATGTGAAAATCTGTGGAAAATGATAAATTTTGACTATAAAATGAGTTAATTTGACTTCGATCAATATTTTGGGTAAACGGACCTGGACCCTTGATTTGACGGTCCCAGAGGGTCCGTAGGAAAATATGAGACTTGGTCGTATGCCCGGAATCGAATTCCGAGGCCCCAAGCCCGAGAAATGAATTTTTAAAGAAAATTATTTTCTGAAATTGTTTAGAGGATTTGGAAATGAATTTTGATTAGAACATGTTGGTATCAGGCCCGTATTTTGGTTCCGGCGCCCGGTACAGGTCTTATATGTGATTTAAGATAATTCTGTGAAGTTTGTAAGAAACAGAATCCGTTTGACGTGATTCGGACCTTAAATGCAAAATTTGATGTTTAAAGAAGTTTTGGAAAAATTTTATTGATGTTGAGGTTTAATTCATAGTTGTTGATGTTATTTTTGTGATTTGAATGCACGAGCGAGTCCGTATGATATTTTTAGGGTGGTAAGGATGTTTGGTTTGGAGCCTCGAGGGCTTGGGTGAGTTTTGGATAGGCCGAAGGGTGAATTTTGGACTTACGGAATTGCAGGCCTGCAGGCTTCGCATTTCCCAACTTCCCTTCGCAATTCCCAGTTCGCATTTTCCAACTTCCCTTCGCAATTCCCAGTTCGCATTTTCCAACTTCCCTTCGCAATTCCCAGTTTGCATTTTCCAACCTCCCTTCGTAATTCCCAGTTCACATTTCCCAACTTCCCTTTGCAATTTCCAGGCCAGCAGAGGTCAGGGTTCGCAATTTCGCAATTCCCATACGTGAGACCTACAACTTTTATACTTAGACGATTTTAAACCCATTTTTGATATCCTCTCAAAATATAAACACACTAGAGCGATTTTTCAAAGGCTTCTTCTTCTCCAAATCAATTGTTAGTCATTTTTAACTCATTTTCTTCAATCATTAACATCTTTTAATATGATTTCAACTTAAAATCAATGATTTTCATGGGGGAAATTAGGTGTTTTGGGTAGAACCTAGGTTTTTCAAAAATTGGGGATTTGGACCTCGATTTGAGGTCCAATTTCAAAATAAATTATATATTTGGGTTCGTGGGGGAATGAGTAATCGGGTTTTGGTTCGAACCTCAGGTTTTGAACATGTGGGCCCGGGGGCGATTTTTGACTTTTTGGGTAAAACTTTAGAAAACTCATTTTCATGCATTGGGGTTGATTCATTTAGCATTTACTAATGTAATTAAGTAACTTGTGACTATATACGAGCGAATTGGTGGTGGAATCAAGGGGTAAGGCTATAGTTGAATCGTGAATTGTGTTCGTGGCATCGAGGTAAGTGTTTGGTCTAACCTTAACTTGAGGGATTAGGAGTTGTGTCTTATTTGCTACATGTTAATTGTGGAGTACGACATATAGGCATGGTGACGAGTATCTATACATTGGTGCCAAGCATTCCCGTGAGTCTTGTATTATAATTGTTATGACTCCGTTGTGTTTTGTTGTGCTTCATATGTTATTATTGTCGATGCCCCCTTTTTCCCTCCTAAAGAGCGAAATCGGGTTTACGACATTATGGACAAAACAACTCTTATTCCCCTTTCGAG